AGTAGGTTATGTGGAGTTCTGGTAATTCTGTGCTTTGAGGTGTAAAATTTGTAACCCAAGATTGCCAATATCTTATCATATTCTCTTTGCAAGTGTCTTTTCCGCCTCCCAAATAGTTTTATCCTGAAATATAGATATGGGCTCTAGTTGGAGAGAGTTGTTTGTTCGTGTATTCTAATTGTTGAATTTTCTATTGTGCCTATCCTAAAATTATAAAACTTGTGTGTAGCCTGATTTCAAAGCAATCAAAAAGCGGATTGAAGATCTTATCACCCGGGACTACTTGGAAAGGGACAAAGAGAACCCAAACTTGTTCAAGTACTTGGCCTGAGGCAACAAGCTGATACCTGGGTGATATTGAATGCTCTTGGCACTATTGAAGTGTGAGTACAGCTGGGTTTTGATTATTAGCTAAGGACAATAGCAGAGAATGTTTTTGACCTTGCCTGAGTAGGCAACTTGTGCAGTTAGAATATCACCACCTTTTTCAGAAGTTGGTGGCACTTGAATTCCTTGCAGTATATATTTCAGCCGTGCACTATTATTTCCTGATGTTCCTGATTGTCATGTCATTTAAATGCCGCATCTTTTTGTAAATTCTATGCTTTGGTGTTTCTAGATGTGCAATACTTTCCCTGGATACTAAATGGTTTAATGTGGACATAATATCTTAACCTGTTCATGGCCTCGCCAGTTTCCTTTTTGAAGAATAAATTTCAAATAACAAGAACTATTCACTTCATTGTAAGGTGTTTTCACAAGTTTTCCCATATCTTATGGCCGTAACTTAGATATAATTTTGAGAATGTTTTTTTTCATTTGTTCAACATGCCAGGTAGGTATAAACTTTAAGAAAGATTTTTGGTACTGCCACCTACAGTTTTAAATTGTGGTCTTAGATATGCCATGACATTTCTATGACTACAAAAGCATATCATTAAAGATAAAACAAGTTGTTTAATGATAAATAGTTTCCAAGTATTAGAAGGTGCTAGTCCTTCTTGGAGCAAACTAAAAGGAATGAGCGGAGTTTTTTTCCTACCCTCTACCTTCCAAGTATTAAAAGTTGTTAATCCTTCTTGTGCATGAGTATGAGCCGGATATTTGACGGTACAATTAAAGAAATGTATAGCAACTCTCATAACTCCATCGATCAATTCTTATTTTTCTTTTCTCTTGATAGATATTTTTTCGATCGAAAATGTGCCAAATTTTTATTTTAAGTATCTCACATGCACCAAAGAGACGAAAATAAAGAGCATTATCGAGTTGTTTCTTTTGAATTTGTTAAAATTTTATGTTTGTGGGGTTTCATCTTTTGTGTACACATCATTGCAGCAACAAGCCTTTTTGGTGGGTCCAGCTATTTAAATCTTCTGAACCTTTTCATGTCAAATATATCGTTTCAGATCCCTATTGGCTGCTCTTGCTCTTCTTCACTAGCACATCTCTAACCCTGGCCTCCATTTTCTCCTCCAAAATGAAGAATAGTTACTCTAACCATTACTCTATTTTTTACTTCAAAAAATAATATTCCATTTTATATTCTTATCTCTCTTCAATATTATATTATTATTTTTTATTTAAATTTATTTTTTTATTTCTATTAAAGAAATTCTATCTTTTTTTTTATATATATATTCATCGCATATAATTTAATATAAAGTTATTTTATACCATAAATTTTTAAATAATATAATTTGTAAGCAAATATTATAGATTATATATTTTAACGGATAATTCAAATAAAGGTAAAATTATTGAGATACAAGATAATTAAATACATACTACATTATGGTAAATGATTGATAAGGCAATAAGAATTAAATGGATGTGTACGTCAAGTAGAAAATTTGCGTCATAGTGGTGCTTCTGAGCAAGATATTGTGAGTATTTATTTTGTAGTTACTTATACTTTATTTATATATATATTTACTTATTGTTTTCCTTAATCTTTTTAAATATTGCAGCTTACACAAACAAAAGCTTTACTTATGCAAGATCCGAATTTCAAAAAGGGTTTTTAATTTGATCATGTGTGGGCTATAATGAAGGATTTTGAGAAGTTTAACGATGGCGATCTTGGAAGAAAAAAACTAAGAAAGCAAGGCTATGCTAATATATCATCAGAGTATGAGAATCCTACCCCTGATTCACTCTATCTATCATCTCCTAACATATCATCATTTTCACTAAATTTAAATGAGGTTGTTGGACGTGATTCCACATCATCACAATGGCCTAGTGGGGTGAAAAAAGCAAAAATGAAGAGAAAAATCGACGAAGGTTATATGAAGATAATCCAATTAGAAAATAATCGGATTGTTGAGGCGATGAATAATGCAACTGAGATTAAAAAAGAAGTTTTGACTGTTCAAAAAGAAAAACTAAGACTAAAAGAATTGAAAGAAGAAAATAAAATTTTAATGATTGATGTGGATTCTATTGTCGATCCGACTCGTCGTGAATTTTTGCGACAAAAACAACAACGAATAATGTATAAAAGAAGTCAACAATTTTCACAGTCACAATCACAACAATCCTCGGCCCCATTCACTCAATACTATAATGATTTTGGTGTATCTGGAAACGATATAAGTCCCTACTAAGTTATTATGCTATTTACCGTAGTTTCAATTTTTATGTATTTTAATTTAATGTATTTTCAATTTTTACTTTTCAATTTTAGCAACATCTAATATTTTATATTTGCACCATTCATTTTTTGAGATGATTATTTTTTGTACAATTATAACTTGTAATAAAATTAACTTACAGTTTTACATAAAAATAATAAATGCACGAAAATTAATTTATCAAAATTATACGCCAAAGTTAAGATGTAAAATTAATATTATAAAGATATTATATAAACATAATTAGATATATATAAAGAGATAAATTAAAAGAGTTAAATAATAAAAATAATAATAAAGTAAGGAGGAATAGTAATGAAGATCTCCATTTTGCAGCAAAAAATGGGAAGCATTGGAGCCACATTTTGGCAAAAACTGATTACATTTTGGAGAAATGCAGCAGCCTTGGAGATGCTCTAAGGTCCAAAATCTTACCAACCCTTCAATGAAAGAGCAAGAACGAAGGGCATATTTTGTAAAATCTTTCACTATCATATGCAAGTTTTACTCATTTTTAAGTGCAAGAACGGAAATTTTTCATGCGAACAAGCTACAACAAGGACAGCATCAGTTGTGCGGAAAATATACTTGGAGTTTGAAGAATTAGTATTGCTCCAGGTGCAAATGGAATTAACTTTTTATAAGACATCAAATATATTACTAAAATTCTTTGATTACTATTGATTGTGGATCAGTTAAACTAAGAAGTTATGGGAGTAGTTATTATAGGTTAATGTTAAGATGTGTTGGTGGTGCGTGAGACTTTAAAGGAAAGGCATTTGAGATGACAATAGAAAAAGCTATGTAGATTATGTAAGTAAGCACCCTTTTGTTTTCAATGGCAGAGACAGCATAGTTCAGATTAGTTATTCATAAAAAAACGACTGTTTCTTTAAGATTAATCTTTTGTTTTCTGTTGGGAGAAAGCCTGCAATCTGTAAGTACATTTTTATTGTCAAAGTAACAGCTTCAGAAAAAGAAAAAGAAAAAGAGCCACTTTGCAATTCCTCAAATCTATACTGTTTGCAGATCCCATTATGATCCCAACCACGCAACCACAACAGCCATTGCCAGCTACAAATAAGAATTTGGCATTTAATTTGGGCCATTTCAATCATTGCCCCCATAACACTTCTACTTTGGAGCAATACTGAGTTGGACAACTCCATGTTTAATCCCAATACTATGATGCACTAGATAACACAAAAACGGATTCAAGATTTAAACTTTATGGGTTCAACCTTCAAAGTTCGTAGCATTGAATTCATTGTATTTTTAAAATTATAGTTTCAGACTTACCATTTGATGCAATTTTCGTAGCATTGAATTCATTGTATTTTTAAAATTATAGTTTCAAACTTACCATTTGATGCAATTTTAGTTTATTACACATAAATTTTGGTTCCGTGTTGAAAGTACCCGGTTCAGATGAACCAAGTGAGGAAACTCTAGATCTACCATGAGATAATACACTATCAATATAGTTTAACTTGCGATAAATTATTAAGTGACACTTGTCATAGAGATTTTTTTAAACCAATAATTACCTTATTAGTGACATGATTAAAGGCAACATAAGCCCTTGACCTATATCTAGTGGCAAAAAAAGGAGTTTGTGTGGCTCAAAGATAAAAATGAAAGCTTCTCATGATTTGATGAATTGTGTAAATCACTAAGGCGATTATGTCATCAGCAAAGGACAACAACGTTTGCACTCATTAAAATTACGCGTGCATGCTAGCAATGGTCCAGTTAGTCACCTGAAACATCATCTTCTAAATTCTAAGTTTTTTTCAGTTAACAAAGACTATTAAATCGGGAAATTAAATTGAGCTAAACTTGTACTGTATCACATTTAACTTTGCATGTGCGAGCTTGCTCACGTTGTCGATCTCAAACAAGTATAAAAGAGGAGGGTTGTGATAGACTAGCAGCCATTATAAAATAAAACCTGTCTATTGAATCTTCATAAGTCGACTCCAACTTGTTTGTTTGAGACTAAGGCGTTGTTGTTGTAAACTTGTTTCACATTTAAACAACTTTTCTGCCACATTACTAAACAGTCTTGAGTTTTGTCACAAATGAAGTCCAACATCCTTGATAAAAAACCAAAACATGGTGAAAAAGTCTCCGCCACTTTTCCACCGTCAAATAGCATTAAGAGGAGTAATATATCTTTTGACTTAACTAATTACTACTAACTTAAATGTACTTTAGACATTTATTTATAATTAACGTTAAGTTTTTTAATACTATCATTAACTTTAGCAACCTGAAAAATAAGCAGGGCTTGCTATCATGATTAAAATACACCTTTAGTGTTTAATTTTAATCCTAATGGCTTTGTATGGGTTGATGAGACTTTCTCCTTACTCAAGAGGACCTGCTCTCTGGCCTTTTGTTCCTTATTTGACACAAAAAGCACTTACCGAGAGAAGGGGAGAGATAGAGAGATAAAATGCCAGCAAATAAAGTTAAGCTTAGTTTAAGACTTTGATGTGCTGTTACAATGAATAGCTATTGATCAAAACATATTATTAATTTTAAGGACTGATTGGCACAAAGAATTTAATACAGTGGAATTTGCAGGCTGAAGCTGAAGTGTAAGGCTTTGTTTGTTTTGCTGAGAAGATGGGAGTAGTTACAGTTGCTGAACTGAAGACAAACATATCTGTGAAGAGGTCTAGAGCCCATCTTACTGAATGGTATCTTCTTTCTCCTAATGACTTAATTAGTTCTCACCATATTTGGATATTTCCCAATATTAGTATTGCTTATAACTAAACCACCAAAAAATTCGATTTTATTAAGTAGGTGACAAGGTGCATTAAACCACTTTCCAGATTTTGAAATTAATATGGGTTCAGAATTTAACATTTGTTAAAATTTTAGTTGTTTTTCTCACACACACACACATGTATGCCTATGCTATATGTCGAGAATGTTTGGTTGAACCTATAGACCAAAATCTGCATCCTCTAGGAGAGGCAGAGTCAAGATTTGAACCTTATGGGATTGAGATTGTACTCCTTTTAAGTTACTGGATTCTAAATTAATAAGTTGTACATATTCAATAAATTTCTTAAGACAAATACATGATTTGAACAATAGCTACTGGGTTCGGCCGAACTCGCAGCCCACACTTTGCCTCCGCCCCAGGCTGATCGTTTTCTTGTTTCTACATATGGTGTGGACAGCTATAGTTATGTCAATAATTTTCAGCTTGTCTACCTCATGAGGGCCCCAAGCAAGTAGATATGAGTCATATAATTAGCTGTTAGACTAAATAGGGATAGATTTCAAAGAATGAACCAGAAGATGATATACCACTCGCTAAATTGACTCTTAAAGCAGAATACTAATGGTATTGTAGCTTAGTTTAACTTTCAGCTTGTCTACCTTATGTCTATGTTGTTTGTAGCTTCAAATTTTCATCTGCTAGTATCTAGATAACTTTCAGATCGGCTCTAAAATAATTCTCGTCTTTTATTTTTGACATGTAACTTGCACTTCTAGTGAACAAGTTGATTATCAATTTTTTTCTTCTTATTAAGACGATATTGTGCTATCGGAAACAACTTCTCTATCTTTATAAGGTAGGGGTAAGACACACTACCCTCCCCAGACCCCACTTATGGGAATACACTAGGTTTGTCGTTTGTTGTTATTAAGACGATATTGTGCTATACCATGATTTCTCTTAGTTACAACTTTTCTCTTCAACAGCTTTTTAATATTGACCAAATTTACTGTGGCAGGCCAATATCTGATGTTTCTAGTGATCTTACAATAGATGTAGGAGCTGCTAGTTTTGCCCTTCACAAGGTATGAATAATGTAGTACCAAAATTTGCTTTTCTCCTCTATTTTTGATCTACTGATTCCCTTCATAAGTTATTGAGCTACTCAAGTCTAGCAAAAGCAACAGTCATGCTAACTAATGGTTAGTCTACAAGTAGCTTGGAAAGGATAATAAGTTTAGTTGTATAAGTTGTCGATCCACATAATTGCCGCCTTGTCTAGATGAAATTAAAGGGGAACTTTGGCGTAACTACTGGTAAAGTTGTTTCCACGTAACCACGGGTTCGAGTCGTGAAAATGGCCTCTTGCAGAAATGAAGGGTAAGTCTGCATACAATAGACCCTTGTGGTCCGGCCCTTTTTCAATAGGAAAATCCATACAAAAAAGAAGGAAAAATAAACCACTTGGACGCGTTTATAATGCATATAGACTCTTTTTGCAGTTCCCTTTAGTATCTCGAAGTGGAAGGATAAGAAAGCTGCTGCTTGAGGCAAAAGATTCAAAGATGTCAAGACTGAATCTTCCTGGTCTTCCAGGTGGATCTGAAGCATTTGAACTCGCTGCGAAGTTCTGTTATGGAGCGAACATTGAGATTACCATATCAAATGTTGCAATGCTAAGATGTGCAGCCAGTTTCCTGGAAATGACAGAAGACATCTCCGATAAAAACCTGGAAATACGAACCGAAGTTTTCTTAAAGGACACAGTATTCCCAAACATATCCAACTCAGTGTCTGTTCTTCACAGCTGTGAGAAACTACTACCAATATCAGAAGAAGTCAAACTCACAAGTAGGTTAATCAATGCTATTGCAAATAATGCTTGTAAAGAGCAACTTACATCTGGTTTTTTGAAATTGGAGCATAATTTCCCATTCAAACCTATTAAAAGCCTTGATATAGAGACAGCGTCGGACTGGTGGGGCAAATCACTAATTGTGCTGAACCTGGAATTGTTTCAGAGGGTTTTATCTGCATTTAAAATGAAAGGTCTTAAACAAGATATTATAAGTAGAATCTTGATTAACTATGCCCAAAATTCTCTTCAGGGACTCATTGTTAAGGATCCTCGTTTGGTTAAAGGAAGTTTCTTGGATTTGGATCTACAAAAGAAACAAAGGGTCACCGTTGAAACAATAGTTAGCTTGCTACCAACACCGTCGAGGAGAAGTACAGTCCCAATAGCCTTTCTTTCGAGCTTGTTAAAATCTGCAATAGTAGCATCAGCATCTACTTCTTGTAGATCTGATCTAGAAAGGCGCATTGGTCTACAACTACATCAAGCGGTTCTTGAGGATATTCTCATACCTGGAAATGGGAATGGAAACAACCATAGCCCTTTGTATGACACTGATTCAATCTTAAGGATATTTTCCATTTTCTTAAATTTGGATGAGGATGATGTAGAAGATAACCAACTAAGAGATGAATGCGGAATGGTTTTTGACTTTGACAGCCCTGGATCTCCCAAGCAAAGCTCAATTCTTAAGGTTTCAAAATTACTGGACAATTATCTCACAGAAGTTGCACTAGATTCAAATCTAACACCATTAAAGTTTACAGCACTGGCGGAGTTACTTCCAGACCATGCCCGTTTAGTTGATGATGGACTGTATCGAGCTGTAGATATTTTCCTCAAGGTAAGCTTTAATACGACTTTACTGTTATACTAGGTGATGTTAAATTGCTTTAATGTTGTGACAAAAAATAGTTCTGTTTACAGTTATATTGGATAAAGTTCAGTGATGATACGTGAAATTAACTTGTTATTCCTTTATAAGAATGAAGTGACACATGTCCACAGTTCTTCAGGCTTAATGAACATTTTCACGTGTTAGTGTGTTTGAACGAGATACATGAAATTTTTATCGCAGGTTCATCCGAACATAAAGGACTCAGAACGGTATAAACTCTGCAAAACTATTGATTGCCAGAAACTATCACAAGAAGGCTGCAGTCATGCTGCACAAAACGAGCGGTTACCTGTACAAATGGCAGTTCAAGTGCTGTATTTTGAACAAATCAGACTGAGAAATGCAATGAATGGGGGACAAAACCAGTTATTCTTTGGGTCAATGAACAGTCAGTTTCCTCATCGTTCAGGCAGTGGAGTAGGAAGCGGATGCATTTCTCCGAGAGATAATTATGCATCAGTGAGGAGAGAAAATAGAGAATTGAAGCTTGAGGTAACAAGAATGAGAATGAGGCTTACAGATTTAGAAAAAGATCATGTGTCTATGAAACAGGAGCTAGTAAAACCACATCCTGCCAATAAGTTATTCAAGTCATTTACCAAGAAATTGAGTAAGCTCAATGCAATATTCCAAATAAAGGATTCAAAGACAGTAGTGGGAAAAGCAAATTCAGAAAGTCGGTTTCCTTTTCAGAGGAGAAGACATCATTCAGTTTCTTGATGCTGTATTGAACGTGTGAATAAGAGTGTATAGCCCTTTTCTTTCTTCTTCTTTTGGCATTGTGATGTTTTGCGATCATTGACTATATAATTCCTAGTTTAATCTCTGTGTTGAGTTAAGCTGCTTCCTTGTTTCTTGAGTGTAGCTTTGAAAGTGGATACACTAGCTTGTCCATCATACGTTATAGGTATAACTTGGAGATAACTGGGCAAATTTTTGATTCTGCTTGCTGACAGCATAAATCTTTCTTTTACACGATCCATCTACAGCAAAAAGTTATGATATACAGCAAAAACAACGAACCCAGTGTAACTCCACTAGGGAGCTATGGGGAAGGTAATGTGTACGCAAACCTTAACCCTACCTTGAGAAGGTAGAGATATTATTTCCGATAGACCCTCGGCTCAAGAAAAAATAAAAAAGAAGATGCAGTAGCAACAAGCAGTAACACCAGCAAAATAACAAGATAACTGAAGCAAAAGAACCAACAAATAGTGATAGAAATCTGAAAATACGAAAATACAAGTCTAATACTGATATTACTTGTAAGGACAAGGAAGACGTACGACTAGCTACTAATCTTTTATCCTATTTGTCGACCTCCATACCTCTTATCAAGGGTCGTGTCTGCGGTAAGGTGAAACAACGCCAAGTCCTACCTAATCACCTCTCTCCAATACTTCTTTGGCGTACCTCTACCTCTCCGTAGACCCCCCAAGGCCAACCACTCACACTATGTGATTCTCCTCTTCACATGCTCGAACCATCTAATCGCTTCCCCCATCGTGTCCTCTACTGGGGCCACATCCATCTTGTTCATAATATCTTCATTCCTAATCTTATCTAAGATGAAATAGATAAACTGAAGCGTCGAAGCGTGAGTCTTGCTCACCTTTCCAGACTTACATTTATAAGATAAAGTTACAACAATATATGGAAAGGAAGTTACAACAATATATGAAAAAGATAATTAAAAAAATAAATCAAATAAAGTCCTAATACAACTAATAGACTAAAAGATAACGCTAACACCCTACCTCAATCTGAACGAAAATAATGAACGTGAAGATTGGCTGTTAGCTCACGAAAACGGATAGAGGGCAATACTTTGGTGAATAAATCTGCAAGTTTCTCAGAGGTATGAACATGAGAGACCACCGGATCACCATGACTAATCTTTTCACGAACAAAATGATAATCCAATGTAACATACGGGAATGAAAAACTGGATTGTGAGCTAGATGAATGACTCTAATATTGTCACATTTTGCGGAGACCGGAGAAGTAAGAAAAACGCCAAGATCATGAAGAATATATTGGAGCCAAGTAGCTTCAGTAGTTGTAACAGCAAGAGCTCGATATTCAGCTTCAGTACTTGAGCGTGCAACAGTAGGTTGCTTCTTAGCAGACCAAGAGATGAGATTGGAGCCAAGAAAAATGCAGAATCGAGTTGTAGACCGCCTAGTGGCTGAACATGTTAACTTGATGAGATTAATACGGAGATTGAAATGGGTAATTCACCATACGAGAGAAGGAAGGGAGAGAAGAGAGATATTATTTCATTTTTAGTCAGTTAAAGAATTAAAATATATGTACGTACACTTACACTAGCTAAAGCTATATACAACAAACGAGCTTACTTCCCAGAATTGGGCCTAGTAGCCTGTTATGGGCCTAGTAGCCTGTTATACAAATAAATATAATGTGGCCCAATAAGTTATATGGGATGAGCTTCAGATTGGGCTGCTTTATTACTTCAACTCCAACACCCTCCTCCCCGCGCAAGTTAGAGGTTGACTGCACACCCAACTTGAGTAAGAGAGAACGATGGACCAGACCTGTAAGAGGCTTGATAAAGACATCGGCCAGCTGAGAGGAAGTGGGAACATGATGCAAAGCAATCAAACCTTCACTAAGCTTGGTTCTAATGAAATGGCAGTTGACCTCAATGTGCTTGGTCCACTCATGGAAAACAGGATTTTTTAGCAATATGTATTGCTGCTTGGTTATCACAGAAAGCAGGAACAACAGCAGGAACTGAGATACCAAAATCAGACAGTAGTTGCACAACCCAAACTAACTCAACTACAACTTTACTGATGGCTCTGTATTCAGCCTCAGCTGAAGAAAGAGACACAACTGGTTGTTTCTTTGTCTTCCAGCCAACAAGAGAATCACCTAATAAAATGCAGAAACCAGTGACTGACCTCCTGGTGTCTGGGCATGCACCCCAGTCACTGTCATAGTATGCAGATAAGGAGAGATCAGGAGAGCTACTGATGAACGTTTCCAACATCAGAGGACCCCTTAAGGTACCTGAGAATATGTAAAGCAACATGCATATGGGAAACAAATGGGCTCTGAAGGAACTGGCTCGGATGCTGCACTGCAAATGATAAATCAGGCCTGGTATGGGTAAGGAAGTTAAGTTTACCCACCAGACTTCTATACTGCTCATGAGATGGCAGAAGTTCACCCATATCAGCCTTCAACTTGTGATTCAAATCAATGGGACAAGTGACAGAACTGACATCTTCACAATGGTACTCCTTGAGAAGATCTCTGATAAATTTCTTCTGGTGCAATAGCAACCCAGAAGGAACATAGGCAACTTCAATACCTAGGAAGTAATTGAGAGTCCCTAAATCTTTAATTTTAAATTGAGTATCCAGAAAAGTCTTCAAGGCAGAAAGCTCCTCTAAATCATTACCAGTCAATATGATGTCATCTACATACACAACCAACAGAACAATAGAAGAACCAAAATGTTTGGAGAACAAGGAGTAATCATTCAGGGAGTGAGTGTAGCCTCTGGAGCATAAAGCATGAGATAACTTAACATACTATTGCCTGGATGCCTGTCTCAACCCATACAAGGATTTTTGGAGATGGAAGACCAAAGTAGGGGAGGATTCAGAAGATGAAGTGGCACACAATCCAGAAGGAAGCTTCATATAAACCTCTTTATCTAAGTCACCATGCAAAAAGGTATTGTTGACATCTAATTGAAAGAGAGGCCACCTTCTTTTGACAACCACAGTAATTATACATTTAACAGTAGAGAACTTTATAACAGGAGAGAATGTCTCATTGAAATCCACACCTTCAACTTGAGTGTCACCCTTAACAACTAGCCTAGCCTTGTATCTCTCCAAAGTCCCATCAGCCTTGTAGTTAATCTTATAGACCCATTTGCACCCAATTGGTTTCTTCCCAACAAGCAATTCAACTATAGACCAAGTGTGATTAGCCTCGAGAGCTTCAAATTCCTTCCTTATAGCCTCTTGCCATGCAGGAATAGAATCAGCTTGTTGATAGGAATGATGCTTAAATTCAGCAGTGTCAGCTAAGCTTTGAAGGCATGCAGAAGTAGAATTGGAACCGCATAAGGAAGGAGGAAGATCACAGGCAAACTATTGGAGATGAGTAGGGAGAGTATGAGTCCTGGCAGACCTCCTAAGGACAGGGGAGGAAGTAGTAGTAGAAGGAGTAGAGGAGCTAGGAGAAGAGACAGGGTCAGGAGAAGAATGAAAGGGAAATGAAGAAGAAGGAGAGGAAGGAGCAGGAAAGGAAGGAATGGATGTATCAAGAAAGGAAGAAACAAGAAAGGAAGGAGTGGAAGTATCAGGAAAGGAAGGAGTTGAGAGATCGGAAAGGTAAGGTGATAAAGGAGCAGGGAAGACAGTAGAAGGAGAAGTAGGAGAGGATGCAAAAGGAAATATGTCCTCATAAAAAATTACATCCCTGGATACTAGAGTAAGCTTAGTAGTGAGGTTGTAAAGCTTATACCCCTTTTTAGTGAGGTGATATCCCAGAAAAATACAAGGTTCAGCTCTAGGCTAAAATTTGTTCCTATAGCACTTAGGAACTGTTGAGAAACATAGTCATCCAAATGTTTTGAAGTGAGAATAGGAAGGAGGCTGCCCAAATAGTAATTCAAAAGGTGATTTATTCTGAAGAAGTTTGGAAGGAAATCTATTAATTAGATATGTGGCAGTACGTACACAATCATCCCAAAACTTGAGAGGTAGTTTAGACTGAAAAAGAAGAGCTTTAGAGGTCTCCAGTAAATACCTATATTTTCTCTTTACTACACCATTTTGTTGTGGAGTATGGGGACAAGATATTTGATGAATAATCCCAATTTCAACAAAGAATTCCCTAGAAGAATTACTAGAGCCAAGTTCAAAAGCATTGTCACTTCTAATAATTTGGATAGTGGTGTTGAATTGTGTTTTTACCATGGCAACAAAAGCTTTGATTAAAGAAAAGGCATTGCTGTTGGACCCCATGAGATGAGTCCAAGTAGCTCTAGTAAAGTCATCCACTATAGTCAAGAAGTATTTGCAACCATTGTAAGTAGGGCAACCATAGGGACCCCAAGTATCCACATGAACTAGATAAAAATGATATGTAGTCTTAATGGAGTTGTCAGGGAAGGGTAACCTAGATTGTCTAGCTAAGGGACAAATAGTACTAGTGAAAGGTTATTTTGTAGAAAATTTACAGGGCAAATCAGAGATTTTCCTCATTCTAGCAAAGGGCATGTGCCCCAATCTATGATGCCATTAAGCTCAATTTTATTCAAACCAGAATGATATGTACAGTAAGGCCGCGTAAAAGTTAGCAAAAAAAAATAATATTTCGTGGTGCCGAATTGGTTTTACGTGATGAGGATTATAGAAATTCTTTGCATCGAGCTTGCGAGCTGCGGCTCAGAATTTTTAGGTTGAACAATGCACTGAGGGATAAAGAAAAATTTTTGGTAGAAAAATACATTTCTGCGGTCCATTATGCGACCGCAGAATCACTCTGCGGACAACATAATGGCCGTAGAGTGAGGCAGAAGAGGGACAATTTTGGATGCCATTCTGCGGTCGACTATGCGACCGCAGAACTGTTCTGTGTTTCATTATGCGACCACAAAACAGGTCTGCGGACCGCAGACCCAGACAGATTTTTGGCCAGCTTTGGACACCAATTATGCGGTTGATATGCGGTCCGCATATCGATTATGCAACCGCACACCTTTTTTCGGAGTTTCATTTTTGAGTTTTTAAAACCCGACCCTACTTCGTTAAACATACATTTTGGGCCATTTTTGAGCTAAAAATCTGACATTTAGAGTGAGAGAGAGTGCCCTAGAGTGAGAAGGTGTTCCTCAATAATTGTTCTTCAATTCTTGCTCAAATTTTGGAAGATTAAGAAGGAAAACTCACTAGGTCTTCATCCTAGAGGTAAGATTCTACACCATAACCCTCAATTTCGAATTTTGTCTAGAAATGGGTAATTAACAAGATAATATTTGGGCATGAGAGTTATTTATTTTATATGCATGTGTTATCAAAGGGTGTAGGAGGATTGTTGAGAAAAAAATGGTAAAGATTGGGTTGTGGGATAATGGAATCCTCCATAAAAAGACCTTGAAACCTTAATGCACACCTAGTGTTTGATAAAATGCTCAAATGAGCTAGAACCATGAGCATCTTCCTAATTTTGGTTCAATTTATTATATTTTTTTAAAATAGATTGAAGTTGCTAAGAATTTCGGAACATTTTAGAGTTTAAGGAAGCTCCATTGAGGTATATTGGCTAAACTTTTCTTTAAGAATTGGAACCCCAATATCCTTGTAAGTTCCAAGATATTTATTATAAGTTGAGTATTTCAAATAAGTTTTGTGACAAAGATATATGTTTAATTTGCGTTTCAAATACTCTCATAATATTGTATTATAAATTGAGGATGTGTTCCAAACTATGGATTGTGTATCTACGTGTTATGATTCCAAGTCGTGATTTATGCGGGAAACTATTATGCTAAATTGTGTAGAGATTGTGATTGGAGTTACACCTCCACCCGCATATATTGGGGTGAGGCGGAAGAGCCGCTTTGTGTATGAATTTGGTATTGTTGTTGCACCACCACCCACATATACATATTGGGGTGAGGCGGCATGTCCGATTTATGTAGGTATTGGTATCATTGTGTTTACACCTCCACCCGTATATATTGGGGTGAGGCGGCGGGGCTGCTTTGTGTGAAAATGGGTATTGTGCTTACACCTCCACCCGCATATATTGAGGTGAGGCGGCGGGGCCGCTTTGTGTGAAAATGGTTACAAAGGTCCTCATCTTAAATTATATAAATGTTAATGATAGCTCTTGATAAGCTTGCTTTGGTTTAAACGGCTATTTATGCTATTCTCTTGTCGCCCTGGTTCATCATATTTATATTGTATTTTCGAATTCTTTAATTGGTGTTTGGTTTTCATACTAGTACTATTCGACATGTACTAATATCTCTTTTGTCGAGGGCGCTGCATCTTTAATGGATGCAGGTGGTTCCACAATAGAGGATATTGTCCAGTGATAGCGGTGCTCATTTTTCCTAGCTGACTTGGTGAGCCCCATCTCATTTCGGGGTTGTGCATCTTTTATTTTTTATGTGATATCGTATTATGAGGTATAGTCGGAGCCTTGTTGTCGGCACTATCATTGTACTCCTTGGTATTTTAGAGGCTCCGTAGACATAAATGTGGGTTGTATATTAGTGCTGGGAAAGTCAAACTATGTTGTATTACTTGTTCTATTTAAGACCTTAAAATGATGAAACTATTGGTAATGAATTGGTATTGTAGATATGAACATCTTATTGTCTAATTAATGAAGATATGTATACTATTTATTCATGGATAAGTTTGGGTAGAAGGAAATCTAATAGGCTTGCTCGGCCGGGTTCACTCGATTGAGCGCCGGTTGCGCTCCCCGATTTTGGGGGGTAACATGTACAATGAGAAGCAGTAACTGAATCAGAAGCTAATGGAGCATGGTATTTATAATGAATAGAATCAGAAGGTAAAGAAGAAGAAGCCTGTTATACAAATAAATATAATGTGGCCCAATAAGTCATGTGGGATGAGCTTCAGATTGGGCATGAGTGTGATTGGGCTGCTTTCTTACTTCAATTCCAATAGAACAACCAACCCAATTCGAGTCCGAGAAAACAATAACTGCCAAGGGAGAATTTTTATACAACTGTAAGCCCCAATCGATGGTGCCACTAAGATACCGAAAAATCCATTTTTTCGCCTGAAAATGCAATTCTCTCGGTTGGTGAAGGAATTAAGAAGCAAGGTTGACTGCAAATTGAATATCTGCCCTAGTAAAGGATAAGTATTGTGGACTTCCAACCATTTGACGATAGATAGAAGGATCTTTAAGCAAAGGGGAAGAGGTGGAATTCCAATCAAGCTTACTATGAAGCGGAGTAAGCACTGGTTTACACTTTTCCAATTTAAAGCGATGCAAAATTGAAGTAATGTAACGATGTTGCAGTAAGAGAAGTCCCAAAGAATTATTTTTTAACTCAATGCCAAGAAAGTAGTAAAGTTGTCCCAAGTCCTTCATTGAGAATTCTGTACTCATGGAAGATATAAATTGTGATATTAAGGACTTTGAAGAACCAAAAATAGCTATATCATCCACATAAATTAAAAGAATAATGCAATCACTCCCGAAGTAAAAAATGAACATGCTTTGGTCCGAAACACATTGCTTAAAACCGAGATCAAGAAGAAAACGAGCAAGACGATGGAACCAAGCCCTCGGAGATTGTTTAAGACCATATAGAACACGTTGCAACTTGCAGACATAATGGGGATAATCTGGATGCTCATACCCCTTAGGTTGGCGCATATAAACAGTCTCAGATAACTCACCACGAAGGAATACATTTGACACATCCCGTTCTGCTGTTGCATAATGAACCGTAGAACAGTTCTGCGGTCGCATAGTTGACCACAGAATGGCATCTAAAATTGCCCCTCTCCTGCCTCACTCTGCGGCCATTATGCGGTCCGCAGAGTGATTCTGCGGTCACATAATGGACCGCAAAAATGCTTTTTTCTATCTAAAATTTTCCTTTATCCCTCAGTGCATTGTTCAACCCAAAAGTGACCGCAGACCCATGAAATTTTTGGCCAGCTTTGGACACCAATTATGCGGCCGATATGCTATCCGCATATCGATTATGCTATCGCATATGCGATCGCAGACCTTGTTCCGGAGCTTCATTTTTTGATTTTTAACACCCAACCCTACTTCATTAAATACACACTTTGGGCCATTTTTGAGCTAAATATCTAACATTTTAGAGTGAAAGAGAGTGCCCTAGAGTGAGAAGGTGTTCCTCAATAATTGTTCTTCAATTATTGCTCAAAATTTGGAAGATTAAGAAGGAAAACTCTCTAGGTCTTCATCCTAGAGGTAAGATTCTACACCCTAACACTCAATGTCGAATTTTATCTAGAAATGGGTAATTAGCAAGATAATTTTTGGGCATAAGAGTTGTTTATTTTACATGCATGTGTTATCAAAGGGTGTAGAAAGATTGTTGAGCTAAAAATGGTAAAGATTGAGTTGCGGGATGATGGAATCCTCCATAAAAGGACCTTGAAACCTTAATGCACACCTAGTGTTTGATAAAATGCTCAAATGAGCTAGAACCATGAGCATCTTCCTAATTTTGGTTCAATTTGTTATATTTTTTTAAAAATAGATTGAAGTTGCTAAGCATTCCGGAATATTTTAGAGTTTAAGGAAGCTCCATTGAGGTATGTTGGCTAAACTCTTCTTTAAGAATTGGAACCCACCCCAATATCCTTGTAAGTTCTAAGATATTTATTACAAGTTGAGTATTCCGAATAAGTTTTGTGACAAAGATATATGCTTAATTTGCGTTTCAAATGCTCTCATGATATTGCATTATAAATTGAGGATGTGTTCCAAACTATGGATTGTGTATCTATGTGTTATGATTCCAAGTCGTAATTTATGTGGGAAACTATTAGGCCAAATTATGTAGAGATTGTGATTGGGGTTACACCTCCACATGCATATACTGGGGTGAGGTGGAAGATCCGCTTTGTGTATGATTTTGGCATTGTTGTTGCACCACCATCCACATATACATATTGGGGTGAGGCGGCATGGCTGCTTTTTGTAGGTATTGGTATCATTGTGTTTACACCTCCACCCGCATATATTGGGGTGAGGCGGCAGGGCCGCTTTGTATGGAAATGGGTATTGTGCTTACACCTCCACCCTCATATATTGGGGTGAGGCGGCGGGGCCGCTTTGTGTGAAAATGGTTATAGAGGTCCTCATCTTAAATTCTATAAATGTTAATGACAACTCTTGATAAGCTTGCTTTGGTTTAAACGACTATCTATGCTATTCTATTGTCGCCTTGGTTCATCATATTTATATTGTATTTTTGAATTCTTTAATTGGTGTTTGGTTTTCATACTAGTACTATTCGACATGTAGTAACGTCCCTTTTGCTGGGGGCGCTGCATCTTTAATGGATGCAGGTGGTTCCACAACGGAGGATATGGACCAGGTGATAACGGTGCTCATTTTTTCCTGCTGACTTGGTGAGCCCCATCTCATCCCGGGTTTGTGCATCTTTTGTTTCGTATGTGTTATCGTATTATGAGATATAACCGGAGCGTTATTGCCGGCACTATCATTGTACTCCTTGGTATTTTAGAGGATCCGTAGACATAAGTGTGGGTTGTGTATTGATGGTGGGAAAGCCAAACTATGTTGTATTACTTGTTATATTTAAGATCTTAAAATGATGGAACTATTGGTAATGAATTGGTATTGTAGACATGAACATCTTATTGTCTAATTAATGAAGATGTGTATCATATTTATTCATGGATGAGTTTGGATAGAAATAAATCTAATAGGCTTGCTTGACCTGGTTCACTCGGTTGAGCGCCGGTCGCGCTCCCCGATTTTAGGGCGTGATATGTACAATGAGAAACAGTAACTGAATTAGAAGCTAATGGAGCATGGTATTTACAATGAATAGAATTAGAAGGTAAAGAAGAAGAAGCCTATTATACAAATAAATATAATGTGGCCCAATAAGTCATGTGGGATGAGCTTCAGATTGGGCATGCGTGTGATTGGACTGCTTTCTTACTTCAACTCCAACAGAACAACCAGCCCAATCCGAGTCTGAGAAAACAGTAAGTGCCAAGGGAGAACTTTTATACAACTGTAAGCCCCAATCGATGGTGCCACTAAGATACCGAAAAATCTGTTTTTCCGCCTGAAAATGCAATTATCTCGGTTGGTGAAGGAATTGAGAAGCAAGGTTGACAACAAATTGAATATCTGGCCTAGTAAAGGATAAGTATTGTGGACTTCTAACCATTTGACGATAGATAGAAGGATATTCAAGCAAAGGGGAAGAGGTGGAATTCCAATCAAGCTTACTATGAAGTGGAGTAAGCTCTGGTTTACACTTTTCCAATTTAAAGCGATGCAGAATTGAAGTAATGTAACGATGTTGCAGTAAGAGAAGTCCCAAAGAATTATGTTTTAACTCAATGCCAAGAAAGTAGTGAAGTTGTCCCAAGTCCTTCATTGAGAATTCTGTACTCATGGAAGATATAAATTGTGATATTAAGGACTTTGAAGAACCAAAAATAGCTATATCATCCACATAAATTAAAAGAATAATGCAATCACTCCTGAAGTGAAAAATGAACATGCTTTGGTCTGCAACACATTTCTTCAAACCGAGATCAAGAAGAAAACGAGCAAGACGATGGAACCAATCCCTCAGAGATTGTTTAAGACCATATAGAGCACGTTGCAACTTGCAGACATAATGGGGATAATCTGGATGCTCATACCCCTTAGGTTGGCGCATAAAAACAGTCTCAGATAACTCACCATGAAGGAAGGAATGCATTTGACACAACCTGTTCTGCTGTCGCATAATGAACCGCAGAACAGTTCTGCGGTCGCATAGTCGACCGCAGAATGACATCCAAAATTGCCTTCTCCTGCCTCACTCTGCGGCCACTATGCGGTCCGCAGAGTGATTCTGCGATCGCATAATGGACCACAAAATATATTTTTCTGCCAAAAATTTTCCTTTTTCCCTCAGTGCATTGGTCAACCCAAAAGTTATCGCAGACCCAGGTAGATTTTTGGCCAGCTTTGGACACCAATTATGCGGCCGATATGCGGTCCGCATATCGATTATGCGATTGCATATGCGATCGCTGACCTTGTTCCGGAGCTTCATTTTTGGGTTTCTAACACCCGACCCTACTTCGTTAAATACACGTTTTAGGCCATTTTTGAGCTAAAAATATGACATTTTAGAGTGAAAGAGAGTGCCCTAAAGTGAGAAGGTGTTCCTCAATAATTGTTCTTCAATTCTTGCTCAAAGTTTGGAAGATTAAGAAGGGTAACTCACTAGGTCTTCTTCCTAGAGGTAAGATTCTACACCCTAACCCTCAATTTCGAATTTTGTCTAGAAATGGGTAATTAGCAAGATAATTTTTGGGCATGAGAGTTGTTTATTTTACATGCATGTGTTATCAAAGGGTGTAGGAAGATTGTTGAGCTAAAAATGGTAAAGATTGGGTTGTGGGATGATGGAATCCTCCATAAAAAGACCTTGAAACCTTAATGCACACCTAGTGTTTGATAAAATGCTCAAATGAGCTAGAACCATGAGCATCTTCCTAATTTTGGTTCAATTTGTTATATTTTTTTAAAAATAGATTGAAGTTGCTAAGAATTTCGGAACATTTTAGAGTTTAAGGAAGCTCCATTAAGGTATATTGGCTAAACTTTTCTTTAAGAATTGGAACCCCAATATCCTTGTAAGTTCCAAGATATTTATTATAAGTTGAGTATTTCAAATAAGTTTTCTGACAAAGATATATGTTTAATTTGCGTTTCAAATACTCTCATAATATTGTATTATAAATTGAGGATGTATTCCAAACTATGGATTGTGTATCTACGTGTTATGATTCCAAGTCGTGATTTATGCAGAATTGCAATCACGATGTTGCAGTAAGAGAAGTCCCAAAGAATTATGTTTTAACTCAATGCCAAGAAAGTAGTGAAGTTGTCCCAAGTCCTTTATTGAGAATTCTGTACTCATGGAAGATATAAATTGTGATATTAAGGACTTTGAAGAACCAAAAACAGCTATATCATCCACATAAATTAAAAGAATAATGCAATCACTCCCGAAGTGAAAAATGAACATGCTTTGGTCCGCAACACATTTCTTAAAATCGAGATCAAGAAGAAAACGAGCAAGACGATGGAACCAAGCCCTCGGAGATTGTTTAAGACCATATAGAGCACGTTGCAACTTGCAGACATAATGGGGATAATCTGGATGCTTATACTCCTTAGGTTGACGCATATAAATAGTCTCAGATAACTCACCATGAAGGAATGTATTTGACACATCGAGTTGGTGCATGAACCAATTTCGCTGAAGAGCCAAGGATAAGACCAAACGCACTGTACTAGGCTTGACTCAGGAGCAAAAGTTTTAAAATAATCCACTCCAAGCTACTGCGAAAAACCTTGAGCCACTAGACGACGAGCTTTAAATCTTTCAACAGAGCCATTTGCACAAAACTTGATTCACAACACCCATTTGTTGCCAACAATATTTGCATTAGGAGGAGGAGGCACCAAAGTCCAAGTTTTATTTTGGATGAGAGAATCGAATTCAGAACTCATTGCTTGCATCCAACGGGTGTCTTTAGAGGCTTGAGCAAAGGAGGAAGGTTCAGATAAAGTGGGACATGTAGAAACCATCAAGGAAGGAAGAATGTCTGGCTTGAGAGACCCTGTTTTAAAGCGAGTAGTCATATGATGAGTTTGAGGTTGTACAGTTGTTGATTGTGTGCGATATGCTTGAAGGTTGTCGGGTGAAGAAAGAGTTGGCGTAGAATGTGCATGAGATGAAAAATCACGTACAATAGGGGGGAGAGAGAGAGAGAGAGAGAGAGAGAGAGAGAGAGAGAGAGAGAGAGAAGAAACTCGAAGTGGATACAATAGGTTGATTATTAGAAGTTACGTGATCCAAATGTGATTGAGAATGGGAAGGAGAAAGTGTCACGATCCTATTTTCTCTCCGTAGGATATCGTGATGGCACTTAGTCTCTAAGACTAGGTAAGCCTAACAATTTGCATAATTAATAAATAATAAACTGAACTCCAATATCAACACATGAAATATAAATATAAAACTGCCATTCAATTATTACACCTCCCAAAACCTGGTGGAAACAAGTCATAAGCTTCTAAGAGCAAATACTAAGTGTCTCTATACATCAGATTCTAAAGAAAAATAAGGAAAACAACATAGTAAGGATAGAGAGGGACTCCGAGGTCTGCGGACGCTGGCAGATATACTTTGAAGTCTCCACGCGCGGTCCAACTCACTGGTATCTGTTCTGGTGGGAAGAACCTGGATCTGCATAAAAAGATATGCAAAAATATAGTATGGGTACACCACAACGATACCCAGTAAGTGACAAGACTAACCTTGGTAAGGTAGTGACGAGGTCAGGTCAGGACCCTACTGATTTAAAAGAAAAGTAAGGCAGAAGATATAATAATATTTTAAAAAGACTAAGAGTTTAAATAATAAGAAGTTTGGGAAAATATCAGCACAGTAAGTAGAGGTAAACAACAGGGGCACTTCCGAGGTACCCCCTCATAGTCCTAAATTTAAATATGCATGACAGGGGGATCTCCCGAGGTACCGCTTCGTAGTCCCAAAGTAAATATGCAGTACAAGGGAAACTTCCGAGGAACCGCCTCGTAGTCCCAAAGTAAATATGCAGTACAAGGGGATCTCCCGAGGAACATGTAATCGAAGGAAACATGAATTTACAGCAAGGATCTTACAGTTAAAGATTTAATTCAAATCAAGTAAAAGCAGGTAATTCAGCTAAGCATGTTGCACAAATTGCAAGTAAGAGTAAAGGCACGTAGACATGCGATACTAGGCTAAACATGATCACTACATTTGTTAAGGTAACTCAGTTAATGAATTTTAAAAGAAGACAACTCAGTTAAGGAATTCAAAAGATGACAAATCATCAAGAACTGAATTTTTCCATAATCAGCTCGTGTACGCACTCGTCACCTCGCGCACACGGCGCTCACATATCACAAATGCTTACAACAGTAACAAATCCTAAGGGGATTTCTCCCACACAAGGTTGGACAAGTCACTTACCTCAAATCTCGCTCAATCAATCGGTAAGAATGCCTGTCCTATGATTTTCCGACTCCGAATGGCCTAAATCTAGCCGAAAGCAATTACATCTCATGAATAAAACTACAAGGAACTAATTTAAATAATAAATTTACGACTTTAGCAAAGAATCAAAAATTTAGCCAAAAAGTCGACCCGGGCCCACGTCTCAAAATCGGGTAAAAGTCACAAAATACGAACACCCACTCGACCACGATTTCACCCATACCAAAATTACCAAAATTCGACACCAAATCGTCACTCAATTCCTCTAATCAGCTCTCCAAATCCCTAACCTCAAACTCCCAATTTTCACCTTAAATACATACTAACTAGGTGGAAAATCAATGGGGAAACAAGATTATTGATAAAAAATAAGCACAAGAGACTTACCTTAAGAAATCCCGCGAAAATGCTCTCAAGAATTGCCAAAACCCGAGCTCAAAATGTCCAACAACGATAAAAATCTCGAGCCCTTGAATTAATAGAGTCTGTCTAGTGTTTTCGCTTATGCAGATCACTTGACCGCATCTGCAGTCCCGCTTTTCCGGAAAATGCACCGCTTCTACGGTTTTGCCCAGGCTGCCTTACCTCCGCTTTTACCATTTCCTATCTGCTTCTGCGGCTCCGGCGCACCTGCGACCTCCTTGTCCGCATCTGCGGTCTCGCAGATGAGGAATTTTCCTCGCATTTGCGACTTCTGTTCACACTGCTCCAGCATGCTTCTGCGCCCAAATGCCTGCTTCTGCGGGCTCGCACCTGCGATAGATCTTGCGCAGGTGCGATTACACCAGAGCTAGTGCCTTAAGCCATTCTCCCAAGTCCAAATTTGATCCGTTAACCATCCGAAATCAACCCGAGGCCCCCAGGACCTCAACCAAACTTACCAACAAGTCCTAAAACATCATACGGACTTAGAAGAGCTTTTAAATCACATCAAATAATGCTAAAATTACGAATTGCACATTGATTCAAGCCTAATGAACTTTAAAATATTAAACTTCTACATCCGACGCCGAAACCTATCAAATCAAGTTCGATTGACCTCAAATTTTGCACACAAGTCATAATTGATATTACGAACCTATTCCAACTTCCGGAATCGATATTGGAATCCGACCCCGATATCAAAAAGTCCACTCCCGGTCAAACTTCCCAAAACTCATCAAATTTCCAACTTTCGCCAATTCACGCTAAAATGACCTACGGACCTCCAATTCAACATCCGAACAAGCTCCTAAGACCAAAATCACCCTACGGAGCTATAGGAACCGTCGAAACTCTATTCTGGAGTCGTGTTTACACAGTTCGAACTACAGTTAATTCCTATGACTTAAACCTCAATTTTAGGGAATCTGTGTCCCATTTCACTCCGAAACCAAAAACAAATCCTCCTGGCAAGTTACATAACCACTAACTGAAGTAGAGAGAGAAATAAATAGGGGTTCAGGGTCAATTCTCTCAAAACGACCGGCCGGGTCGTTACATCCTCCCCTTCTGAAAACATACGTTCGTCCTCGAACGAGTATAGAGACATACCTGAAGTGGTGAAAATATGGGGATAACTGCTGCGCATATTTTGCTCGGTCTCCCAAGTCGCCTTCTCGACCGAATGGCCCCTCCACTGAACATTCACTGAAGCAATATTTTTCAACCTCAACTTTCGAACCTGCCTGCCCAAAATGGCCATT